CGCGTCCGGCCGTGGCGACGAGAGGCCCCTCTCTCGCCCCGTTCTGCGCTCTGCTGGCCGGAACCATTCCTGCGCTGCCTCGGCTCCCCAGCCGCTGACGCATCCCGAAGAGCCATCCTCTGTGGTGCCCGAGATGGGCGGGCGCGACGGAGCGGAGTGGGATAAGAGGCGAAGAAGGGGGCGCGTGGGTGCGAAGGAGCAAAGTAGGAGGCGAAGAAGGGGGCGCGTGGGTGCGACGGAGCAAAGTGGGAGGCGGGGAAGGGCGCGCGCGGGTGCAAGAGCGAAGGAGGAGACGGGGAATTGCCCTCTCCCCCCAAGAAAAAAATGCCAGCAACTTGCCCGTTCCCCTTCGCCTCGTATTGAATCAGAATCTACGGCCATACCCTCCCTTACCAGCCTGGAACATATCCCTATCCCTGTGCTGGGCACCTCCTCATTACGATGCCAATCTTAGGGATTCCCTTTTTTGGGGGGGCGAATCCCTAAGATTGTCATCGCCTTTTGGCGTGTCAATCTTAGGGATAGGGATACGTTCGAGGCTGGTAACCCCCCCCCCTGCAAATTGCCGGCAAATTGCCAGAATTGGGCGGGGCGGGGGAGGGACCCAGAAAGGGCTCGGGGAGGGGGCCCCCCTACCCCTTCCTACCTCTCCCCCACTACCCCCCCGACCCTCTCCCCCTTTACCCCTCCCCATCCCCCTCTTCCACCTCTCCCCCTCTCCCTCCCTCTCCCCTCCCCCCCTCCCCCATCTACCCTTCCCCCCCCTTCCCCCCACCACCTCTCCCAATGACCATGAAGTGGCATTCCGGAGGGACCCGTTTGCTGCTCTTCCGAACAGGCCAACCCAGCCGGCTCCAAGGCGAGGCGCCCTGACACTCAAGAAGGAGCACGCGCCTTGTGCTTGGGGAACACGTGGCACACCCGATAGAAGCGCCCCCAGCGCCGGATGAGCATACAGTCCTGCGGTTGGAGCTGCAGCGGCAGGGGAGGCTGCGCCGCCAGAAGGATGGGGAGCATGACAGCTGGCAGAAAGGAAATCCCAGACGTGCTGGCGTCGTGAAGAAAACAACGGTGTTTGGTTGACATTATCTGGCTTCTGGGGGCCGTCGCCAGCCCCAGGACCGTCAAAAAACAGCTCGTGATGAAAAAACAGCCCTGGGGAAAGGGTCCTACTTCCAGGGGCCCCGTATTGAGAAAAGCAAGACATCAGACGTCTGGGTTCCCAAGACTAGAGCACCACACATACATGAACACCACGGAGAAACGGGCATTCGATCAGGCTGCACAAGGGTGGCACAGCAAGACAGGAGGGGTGATGCCACTCACAAGGAAGCGGTGTCTAGCGTGGTTGTGTCAAGCACTCGGGCACGGGCAGGGGGCCCTAGATTCCTTCGCGCACCGGCGCATGCATGCAAAGGGCCGTTGGGGTGGCCCTGCGCGGAAGCACGCCTGCCTGCCTCGTCCCGCCGACTTGGCGTCAAATGCCTGCCTCTCCCCTTCTCTATCCCCCTCCCGCGAGAGTGATCTTCGGTGCGCGGTTTGAGCGTGCTTCGGGGAAGCTAGGGTCCAGGCGCGCAAGCAGGCGCTGGAGGGGCCCCATGTGCGCCGCCATCCGAGACCACTCTGGCGAAGGTTCACTCTCACGCATGGCCGATCTCCTTCCCTGGCCTGCAACAAAGATAAAAACGATAACAACAACAAAAAACACAAACAAACAAACAACGGCACAACCACAGTTCTTCGGAGCTCCGCGCAGATTTCTGGGATCGGCACTGGACTCCCCTCCCTGGCGCGCGTGGCGCGCCGTGGGCGGCGCTGCAGACGGCGCCAGGGGGGCCCAGCGCCGATCCAAAAAATTCGAGCGGAACTCAGAGCCCTTCTTCTTATGCCGTTGTCGCCCTCGATGCAGGACAGACTACCTTCCAGACCACCCGAACCCGACCCGAAGTCCAAACGTTCGGGCTTAAGAGGTGTACGCGTTCCATCTGTGCTCCCCACTGGGAGTCTTCGGCGTCTTCCCGCGGTCTGAGGCTGTTTTCCGCGGTCTTCGGCGGCTTCCGACGGTCTGTCACGATGTGCATGGCGACCTGACACGGTGGCTTACGCGGGCCGCCAGAGAAGCACGCCCATTACATGTACATGTATTGAAAACGAAGGCACTTCTGGGCAACCACACGCGGGCAGCTCACGCGCCAGTGTCAACTCCTGGGAGGCCTTCGCGGAACGGGGCCATCCAGCCATATCAGCCCAGATAAAGCCCGATCAGGCTGGAGTAAGCGGGATTAGAGAAGATTACACGGGACTAGCTGTACCAGGAAAGTTTTGACCCCGGGCATACCAGCGGCGATGTCGTAGTTGACCTCCCAAAGGTTGCCTCATTCACGGGCTCCTATATTCACGCCTCGCGCTGCGCGAAGCGCGAGGCGAGAATGGCTTCGCGCTCGCGCGCCGCCCCCCTCCGAGAAAAAAGAAGGACGAAGAACGAGGGGAACGAAAGATGAGGAAGACGGGGCAAATGGTCCAGACCGCGCGAACCGTGAATCGCGAATGACTTCGCGCCGTGACGGGAGCTTTTGAATATCCGGAAGGATTCCGCCGGGAGGCCCAAAAGGCGCGTGCTATGACAAATCTGGCTATGAGGAACGTCGGGCACACCCCTTCGTCAACCGTCATCTTTCCAAGGTGCCTCAGGACACTGCGACCCCCTCTGCAGACAGGAAGTGACCGCGGGGCCCCCGCTGGCAGGCAAACTCGTCCATCTGGTGCGCCCACTGCACACCGCGCCTCTCCACGAGCGCCCTTACAAGCTCCAAGGGGGGCCGAGGGGACACGACGTGGGTGGACTGGCCCAGGGGAAGGAACGTCGACCCGGAACAAGCGGCACGCGTGCCCTGGCTCTTGCGCCGAGGAGCTGCGAGGGACAGGAGGCTTTCGCCTCCTTCCTCCAGGAGTTTCCTTCCGTGGCCGTGGGGGGCAGGACGAACGACGAACGAACGAACGACGACGCCGAGCGAAAATAAAGAGGTCCGAGCTCTAGAGCACAGCTGTGCACGAAAATGAACGATAAGTGCATCGTCGACCGATCGGGGCGATGGGCCTCCGACGGCACATCCGCGCGCCCCTTGCCGGGGAGAGCCATCGGGCCCCTATCGGCGATCAGTGGGCGATCGGGGGTCGAGCCCCCCGCCCCCCCTTGGCACGTCCACCCCCCTGACTCGGCGGTGGACAAGCCTGCCTTCAGTAAACCTCCCTATCGCGAAGACAGCCTAGGACCGAAACCGACGGACCTGGACCCTCAAAGATGACGGCCTCGACGCCCTCTCGCGAACCGAGAACGGCCAATTCGCTAATCGACGTGTCAGGGTAGGAGGTGATCAACCTCCGACTAACGTTGGCCCAAATGGTTGTGGGCCACAACTCGGCTCTCTGGCGGCCGTTCGGGACGGTCCAGGCAACCCCTGGACACCTCTCGGCAGGGTGCAGGTGCTGGATCGCACCCCGAAGCTGGAAAACCGCCAGGAATCGACGAAAACACGCCTTGAACGAAGGTTCAGACTTCCTCCCTGACACCCCAAACTTGGAAGGCTGGAAACGAGCACCAACACCAACACAGTGGGGGGGGCCTCCACCTGAGGGAAATGATCCTGGATGTTGGTGTTGGTGGTAGCCTTTCGGCCACCTAGGAAACCCGAATATTACACCATCACCGAGATCGGGATCATATTCCCTCGGTGGAGGCACACCGCCGATATTGGTGTTGGCGTCAAACTCTAACCCTCCGACTAACGCTGCCCCTGGAGAGAACCGCTACCGCCAACACCCCCGAGCCGACCCCGAACGAAAAACACAAAGCAACAAAAAACACAATCCCCACATATCAGATACACGCGGCCGCCACCGGTGAGCCCCCCCCGCAGAACAAACGCGAGCACGGTGTGCCGCCCTGGGCGCCGCCGCGCGCGTCCTTGCAGCGCGGCTTGATCACCTCCGGCGCGCGACGGAAGGTCCGCGCTGCTCCCAAAAGGGCACGCGCAGTGGGGAGCTCTAGCTGGAGGCTGATCACTGGATACTGCGCCTGTTAGTTCCGCGGGACGGCCCTACGAAGGGTTAGGCCGCGGCGCCGCGTCGCTTTCAAATATTAAATACATACTGTGGAACGTGGGAAAGCGGAAGAGCAGGCCGCCACTCAAAAGTCAAGAGCTGCCCCCAAACCACCTAAAATGGAAGGCGCAGTTCGGATCTGTGATGAATCAGACACCACCTTCCCGCCGATTGGGTGGAATACGTTCATCAACACTGAAGAGCATCACAGCGTTCACACGATAGCCGATATGTACACGTCCTCTTACAATGTGTAGCCTACTGGCTCTGCTCCTTCCGGCAACGCCAGGAGCGCGGCGGTGCCCCAGCTGCCCGAGAAAACGAAGAGAATACGCACTGGGCCCCCACCCGCACAGAGACCTCCATGGTGCGGTGGCTGCAACGCACGAGAACAACCGAATGCCACTTTTTTTCATCTTCGGAATGTCAATGAACGCGCAACGATTCTTGCTCAGATATAAGCGGCCCAAGTGCACAAAACTCATCAAATCTCGGCGACAACCAATCTTCATATGGAAAGAGCCGCTGGATGCCCCAAAGGGGGGAGGGGGATCTGGGACCCCCCACCTTTCTTTGGTCCCCCCCACCTTTTCCCGATCCGTCGTCGGCGGACCCCCCCCTTTCTCGGTCCGTCGTTGGCGGAGCCCCCTCCTTTCAAGAGGAGGGTGGGTGGCTTTCTGGACCCCCCCCTTTCAAGAGGAGGGTGGGTGGGTGAGTGGGTTTCGAAATTCGAGCCCCCCCCTCCCCCTTCTCGCCATGCCGCCCCCTGGCTCTGGAACCCGATCGCTTCCACCCCCGACACTGATCCAAACCCCCACTCGACCCCATACCCCCAACCCCAACCCAAACCCTAAAACCGAACCTAACCCAGAACCGTAACCCCGAATCCGAATCCCTACGCGCTGCCCCAACTCATTATCCACTACCCACTAGTCACAGCGCACCACTCACTACCAACGACTCACTACCACCTACTCACTTATACCCGACACCTCATTCGCCACCTTTTACTCCCCACTCACTTCTCACGACTCACTTCTGACCACTCACTACTCAGTACTCCCGACTTCCTACCTTCTACCACCTACTCACTACCAACTACTCACTACTTCCTGTTCGTAACCCACGACACGCTATTCACTAGCCACCATTCATTATTCACTACCACGCAGTACTCCCGACTCCCCACTCACTACTCGCCACCCCACCTCTTTACTCACTACGCATTACTCAGTACTCCCTACTCCCGACTCCCTAATCGCTCATTCCTCACTACTCACTCTCTACTCCCTACTCACTCCTCACTTCCCACTAAGCACTACGCTCACTACCCAGCTCATTTCTCACGACACCCTCCGCCCTAATCGCTACAAACTACACACTACCCACGGCCCACGATTCACGACCCACCGATAAATACTCACCACTACATTCTACCCACCACCCACTAATCACTACGAAATACTCGCTACGCCCTACTCACTACATCCTGTTTAATGCTCACTAATCACTACTCACCACCCACTACCCACTGCTCCGTATTCCCTACTCCCTACCCACAAATCACTACTCCACAAGTCACGACACACTACTCACATGTGACTACTCATATCTCACCACTCACCACTCGCTACGCACTATTCATTACCAACTACTCACTACGCGCGACGCACTGCAATACTTACGACCCACTACTTACTACTTAACACCCGCTCCTGCCTACGCCCGACTTCCTCTTGCCTATTCCTCTTCACCTCTCCCTACTCCTACTTTCCACTCCCTACTTGCTACTCTACTCGCTATCCCCAACTCTTCACTCACTACGCATTGCTGTACTCCCTACTCCCGACTCCCTACTCGGTCACCCCTGATGACTCACTACTCGCTACACCCCACTCTCTCCTCATCACCTACTACCCACTACTCACAACACTCACAATCCAATACGAACTTCCAACAGTACCCTACTACCTCACCGATACCAACTATTCACTACTCACTACTCACTACTCGCTACGTCCTACTCACTTCTCACTACTTCATATCCACTACTCACTACTTACTATCACCCACTACGCACTACTCCCCATCCCCCACTCCCAACTCGCTACTCACTAAGTCACGACACGCTGCTCACATCTCACAACCCAATACTTCCCAAGCGCCACTCACTACCCACTACTCATTACCAAGTACTCACTACGCACTACCCACTGCAATACTTACGACCCACTACTCACTACTCAGCACTCGCTAATCCATACTCCCTATTATACTCCCTACTACGTGCTCCCACTTCACCACTCCCTGATCCTACCTTCTGCTCGTAATTCACTACTCACTACACACTTCTCGCTACTCCCTACTCCCTACTTGTTACTCGAGACTCCTTACACGCTACCCCCATCTCCCTACTCCATTCCCACTACTCCCTACTCCCAACTCGCTACTCACTAGTCATTATTCGCTACTCCCTCCTCACCACCCACCACTCACTACCCACCGCCCACCACCCACCTCCCCCAGCGCAGGAAGGAGAAGGGCACCCGGTCCGGCAGGGGCCGGGGCATCAATCCAAAAATGACCTGGAAAATATCCAGAGAATTCGCTGGGAAACACGCGAAGAAAGAAACATCCCGGACAGCTCCCAGGCGAACGCGTTCGGAAATTGAAACATTGTGGCCCGTAGCCGCGCCGCGAGCGTTGTTGCGCGATTCCATTCGAAGCCGAAAGGGCTCCATGTCGGGCCAAGAGGCCCTGAATGGCCTCCAGACTGCCCGAGAAGCCCCCAAGTCGCCCCGCGCGAAAGCTGACCTTCCACGAGGGGCCCCAGGAAGCCAAAAACAAAGATGTCGGCGCAAAGATTGACGGATTCTTGCGTTTTCGCGTTGTCGGGCTCGCAGCGCTCCACGGCGGCCCAACGAGACCCCCGAGGTAGCTCGGGAACGGCCGCAGCCCCCCCCCGTCCAAAACGGCCCCATGGCCGCCCGAGGGGGCCCCGCGTCTGCCCCGGAGGCGCCGGCGACCCAAGATCGCCCAAGAGAGCGCCACCATGGCCCCGAGACCAGCCCGCCAAGAGAGGGGGCGCGAGATGACGCGTCAAGTACTTCGCCCATAGAAGACCCCCGAGACCGCCTGCGTGCCCCATGAAAAAGCAATGGGAAACCGAAAGAAACCCCAAGACGCCCCCGAATGGCCCCCAACACCCCAAGAGGCATCATAATTACTGACGAGATTATCCTGAGAGGCCCCCCAATATACTCGAACAGGCATCCGACGCGCCGCCGAGGCACGGGGCTGGAATGCGCCGATGACCGCTAGACGAATTCGACGAGGGGCATCGGAGGCGAACTTCGGCGATCTATCTCGATATCTGAAGGTCAAAGGGCGCCGCGGGGCCCGCCCATATTTTCTTCGGGCGCCCCGAGCATCTCAACAACTCGGTTTCGTCGCGGCGCCGAAGCATCACGCTGACATGGGCGCCGCGCGCGATCTCCCTCGCCGAGCGCCCCGGGGCCGGAAGGCCACGCCTTGCCGCGTGCTCTCTGCGCCCCGACGGAAACGTCGAGCCCTGGCGCTCGCTGCAGACCCAGAAGCGCCGAACGCCCGCGCACGCGGTTCGCGCCACCATCACTTCCCACTTGTAGGTAGCTTGAAAAAAAAAAACACAACTGCCGCAGCACTAAGCAGCGGCGACGCCTGCCTGCAACGCGTGGCGGCCTTGCTCGATACGCGCTGCCCCTGCAGACACAATTGGCTCCCACTTGCGTCGGGCGCCGTCGACTGTCGCTGGAGCTCTCAAGCTGCATCCTGCATCGCCTTCATCTTCTGGAGTCGCACGCCGACTCTTTTTCGACGCGTCGGTTATGGCCTGGCTGACACCGCGGATGTCCTTCGAGGCCGTCTTGGGGTCGTTCGCGATGTTGTCGAGCGCCAAATCGACCATGATCGCCAGCTTGGCGCGGCCCCTGGCGGCATTTGCCGCGCGGCAGGCGCCCTTTAAATCCTTCGGGGCAGGAACCCCATCCGACTGCTCATTCTTAATGAGCTCGAGCATGGGGGGAGATCTCCAACGCGCCGGGATTTCACTTCTCCCGGTCAGGGCAGTCGAACAAAACCTGTTGATTTTCTTTGTCGGCCAGACTACGTCTCGCCCAAGTTGTCCATCGGCGGGCGCATTGACTGCAGCACCTCGCCCTTCTTGCCGAGGGCTGTCGCACGGAGGGGGCGGGCTGTCTCGAGGGCGCTCCCCGCCCGGAGCAGCGCGCGTCGGCCGCCCCCAAAAAGTTCGCACCGACGTCGGCGCGCTCCATTACCGACCACCTCTCGCGAAGTGTGCTCTTCAGGAACATGCTGGACGCCACGCGCTTGTCAAGACAGGGCTCGACGGCGGCGAACGAACAGCAACCGCTGGCGGCGCAAACCCATGGGGCCCAAGCCCCGAGATCGACGGAGCGAACGGTGCAGTCCACGCGCAGACTCTGCCGCTCGCCCGAGCTGGTGAGCACGCGCAGCTCCTCCGACTGAGCGGAGATGTCCAGGGCAGCAGCTTCATCGCTATGCGCAACGAACTCCGGGTCGACACCTTTGCCGAAAGCAGGAGGGCCCACAGGCCCCGCCTTGGCGACGTCCCGGCACAAACCGAAGGCCTCGGGCGCGATCTCCAGCGGCTTCGAGATGCACCCCATTTTATGCGCTCACACACCTTGGTGCACATGGTCTGGACATGGTCCCGGGCGGCCCCCTGCAGCCCCGGGGCCGCCCGCGACGGGTTGTCTGACCTGCCGGGAACGCGGCGAGACAAGACGGACGTCCGGAAGCACCCCGAACCCAGGGTCAGGGCCTGGCGTTCAAGAAACCACCGAAAAGTTCAAAACAACAAAG